CCCTACCAAGATACTTTTCATCCTATTTGAAAGATAGGCAAGATAACCTCAGAAAGAGCATTAGCTATTTGACCAGTAGTACCCACAACGCCAAGTGAAGAACAAAGAGAGGAATCCAAAGCACCTGGCACTCCACCTCAGAAGACGCAGCCCCATGTGGTTTAGCCCCCTGGGTCTAACAAAGAGCCCAGGGCAGCCAAACAGACAAGTCACTGTGGTGTCACTATGGTAACCACACCTACCGTTCTGGGTGAGCTTTGTGGAGCAAATGAGGGTGGCAATCTGAAAGCTGTCTTTTGTGCTATCCTTGGTTGGGGCAAAGTTGGCCAGGGTTTTCGATGCTTGGAGCTCTTTTTCTTCCATCTCTACCTTGGTTCCAGGCAGGGTCAGGTAGAGTTTAGCATCTTCCATTTTCTTGTTGTCACCCTGAAAAGGAAGCATGATAGGAACACCAAATGTTGGGCAAAATCTCGTAGATGCGAATAAAAATAGTTTCTACCATGAGCATGATGCATTTCCAGGGTGCGGAACAAGACTTTATCGAATTATACGTACATTCCCTCCAACTCTAAGACAACTGTGATATTCTTCCAGGGTTTGAGCCCAGAAATAATTTCAACACTGAATAAAAATGGAGTGAGTTGTGAACTACAAACTGAGAACATCCTAGGTCTCTGCTATAAATAAATATTAAAGAATGAGGTTGGATTTCATTTTCTTGAACCTGTAAATGGTCACAATTCTACCTCACTGGGTTGATAGGTTGACTGGATTCACTGGGAAGAAATAGTTTGCCATGCCTTCCAAAACCATCTTTGAACTAAGGAGCTCTTTAAAAGAAAAAAACAAAACAAAACAAAACAAAACAAAACAACCAGGCAGGGGCGCCTGGGTGGCTTAGTCAGTTAAGCATCCCACTCTTGATTTCTGCTCAGGTCACGATCTCACGGTTTGTGAGTTCAAGTCCCACTGGCAGTGCAGAGCCTGCTTGGGATTTTCTCCCCCTCCCTCTCTCTCTGCCCCTCCCCTACTCTCTCTCTCTCTCTCTCTCTCTCTCTCTCTCTCAAAAATAAATAAATAAACTTAAAAAAACAAACAACCCAGGCAGATGCATCTCAAAGAAGCTACCAACTCTGTGATATTGTTAGATAAATGAGACCGTCCCACATCTACTTTCGAGTGTAAAATCTCAGTAGAAGGGATAATTCTGTAGCAGTTAAAGAATGAGGACCACGCTGCTGGGGAAGGAAGCAAGGTCCCCTCGCAGAGAAATGGTGCTTGGCTCTCGGTGATATGGAAACCACATCCTCCCATGCCCACCATACTCTAACCAAAGCCCAACAGTGCAACTGTTCCACACAGGACGATGCAGGGGAGAGGCGGGAGGCAGCCCTCAACTGTTCACGGCCACAGAACACCATCTGCAGGACAGGGAGAGGTGTCCTCTAGAGGACTTACAATAATACGATCCACTCCTTCCAGAAAGGGGATGGGAGAGACCACGCAGCTGGAGTGACCAGAGTCCTCTGGTTTTTCTAGACTTGAAGGGACAAGCACTTCTCCCTCTAGAGAAGTTTCCGATGTTTATGTGCATAATTCTGAACCAATTTCAGAGGGGGTGAACACTTCCTAAGTAGTTTTCTGAGCCTTGTTCTATTAGCCCCACCTTATAAACCACCAGATCGTGCCTCCCATCCTGCAGCGTGGTGCCATCCGGGTTCATCAGTTTCACGAAGGCCACCCCAAAGGCTCGCTCTGATTTATCTCTGGCTGAAAATACAAAAATAAACATGTCTGAGCAGTCCAGCAAGATACCAGGAAGTGATGTCTGTGATGGATGGTTTCACATTTTGCTCCAGGGGGGTGATGTTCAATCATGCTATAATCGACACTGCTCAGCAAGCTACAATAAGTCACAGGTACTGTGCGTGGCACAAGCTCCTCAAAGGAAATATTCCCCAAAGTGAAAGCTTCTGGTGCCTCCACGTAAGTTTTTTTTTTCCTACATTTGAATGAGACCAGCAACTAGCCACTCGTCTAAATCAGAAACGTGGATGTCAACACTGAGTCCAACCCGGTGTCAGCTCCCAGTTCTGAATACCTCTGAAACCTGCACCTTTTCTCTCCATCCCTTCTGTTCCCACCCTGGTTCTGTTCAACTCTTCCCTAGATTTCTTTTTTTTTAATGTTTATTTATTTTTCAGAGTGAGAGTGAGAGTGAGAGAGAGAGAGAGAGAGAGCACGAGTTGGGGAGGGGCACAGAAAGAGGGAGACACAGAATCTGAAGCAGGCTCCAGGCTCTAAGCTGTCAGCACAGAGCCTGATGCGGGGCCCGAACCCACAAGCTGGGAGATCATGACCTGAGCCGAAGTCAGGTGTTCAACCAACTGAGCTACCCAGGCCCCGCAACTCTTCCCTATATATTTCTAGAGGATCTTTCCAAGCAGTCCTTTTCCACTCAACACCTTATCTACCCTGCCGTCAGAGACTCCCTGCTCCAAAACACCTTCATGAGATATCTCACTTCTGTTGCTTTAAGACAGACTCAGTGAAGTATTAATCACACTCCAAGGTTTTATGAGGCCACCTCTTACTTCTAAGATACTAATCCAGGTGCCAGGAGGGTCCAGTCTCCCCAAGAAAGCAGAGCACCTCCCTCCAGATCTTTAGGTGCTGGCCTCTGAGCTCACGGTGCCCCCTAGTTAGGTGCCGATGGCTGGGGCAACCTTTGGCCTGTTCTCATCAAGGGCACAACTCTGAGGTGTGCTGGGGCTATGTGCCCCTAGATTGAGTGAGCCGTAATCCACTATATGACTATATTTGCAATTTGTTTATCCATTCTCCTGGTGGTAGCCATGAGGCAAATTTACAACATTCCCAGTTTGGGGAGATTATGAATAAAGTTGTTATAAACATGTATCAAACCACAAAAACCTTTTAATGGCACCTCCGTAATATGGGTCAACATAACCTTCAACCTGCACGATGTGGCTCCAGCCGGCTTGAATTCGGGTTGCTGAGGTGTCGGTTAAGCTGGGCTCTCTCACTTCCTAGCCCTGTGATCCTGGGCAAGTATCTAATTTCTCTGTACTCACCTTCTTTTCTGTATACATGTGGATAAAAGCAGTATGTATCTTATCAGTTTACTGGGGACACTAAACAGTATGCAAATAGATTCATTTAGTGTCTTGTATAAACTAAGGGCTTGATAAATCCTAGCTCAGTATTATGTAGAACTGTATGAAATTGCTGATACTTGACTATTTGACACTGACCTACAAAAAAATAGCAACTTCATGGGGTTCGACCCAATATTATGACTGCTCCCACTGTTCTGACTTCAGCCTGCTGCGTTCACTTTGTGGGTTTCAAACACATTTCTCCATCGTCACTCTTGAGTGGGCTGACTTCGATTCCTACACCTTCAAGCCTCGGCGAGGAGGTAGAATTCTTACGCACAAATCCCAGACGGCGTTGGATACTATGCTACGTGCTCCCTCACAACTCTTTGCTAGGGGAGCATTTACCACAATGTTCTGGCCTTAATCGTCTGTTTTATTGTTCATCGTCCTACCCAGGCCAACAGAGACTTCAGAGCACTACCCATGACCTATCATGGATGCAGGGCCTGGCCTGCAGCCTGGTTTGTGGAGGGTGTTCAGGAAATTCAGTCTGGAATGAAGAATTGCATGTTTATGTGGTGCTGAATGAGAATAAGACATTTCCAGAAATTTTATGATCAGTCTGAAAATAATCAATTTTGTTCTCTGTTTACACTTTCGAGCAGTCATTTCATGAGCTATGATCTAAAGCTTGAAACAGTTTTTCCATGAAAAGAGTTTATCTGGGGGGACAACAGATCAACAGGTTTCCTTGCTGCGGGACTTCTCAGCAATATGGCAACATACACTGTGAACGTCTAAGGCAGAGATAGAATATACAGCATTTCCTGTTCCCATTTGACTGGGAAACCCTTTTTGCCATAGAGCATCTATCAGCATGATACAGAACCTCAGTATTCACAGAACACATTTTGGGGACCTTCTTATATAGAACAATAAACACAGATCTTGGAAGCCCAGAAAAGTCCATTTTTCTGATTTCCTTAGCACAAGTGAATCCTGACTGAAGTAATGATGCTAAGTATCTAGTTTCCAAGGACTTCGCTCACCAGAACCACAAAAGTGTTGTCAAGCAATAGTAAATATATGTATACATATACATATATATATATGTAAATAGACGTAGACGTATACGTATATCTACTATTATAAATTGTATATTGTAAATAGTAAATATACGTATACGTATACATATATATGTAAATATATATGTAAATATATATGTATACATATGTATAATATATATGTATATACGTATAATATATATGTAAAATATATATGTATGTAACTTTACATACATATAATATATATGTAAGTAAATATATATGTAAATATATATGTATACGTATACGTATATTTCAACAGAAATACATTTTAGACATACACACACACACACACACACGTATACTAAATGTATATTTCAACAGAAACACATTTTAGAGTTTCTGATACTTACATTCCTGAGATGATCTGTGTCGGAAGGTAAATCTTATATGGCAGCGAGTAACCTCTTCTATAGCAATGGATACCTGAATAATAATAAAAAAAACTTCCAGTTTACATGTACATAATGTGTTGCACTCATGGCTCGTTTTTAAAAATCAGGCCCATTTTTAGTGTTTGATTGCAGCACTAATTCCTATAGAGTAAGATTTGGAGGAAGCTTCCGTTCAACGCAGATTTAGTTATAGTCAAAACTTAGAAAAATTTCAAGAGAAACCATCTTCGCTGCCTATTGTGGGTTCTGAGAATGGGGATATTACAAGTTTCTTGAACTTTCTCAAGTATGAAAGAGGAAATACTTCAGAGGAAAAAGATCAGCACTTGGGGTCTATACAGGAACTTCCAGCCTGCAAGGTGTATACTGATATGGTAATAATTAGGGCCTGTAACAGAAGGAAAAGGTAAAATGCTGGGGACAAGGAGTCTTTTGCTGTTTACATATACAGAGGGGACAGGGGAAAAGAGAAGTACACGGCCATAAAAAGAGCAGAGAATTTATGGCAAATAGTTAAATAAATTATGGCATGATTATATCACGGAACATTACGTAAGTATCTAGAAATCCATTTCTAAAGAACTTTCAATGCCTCGAGATAAGTAGTTTTTTTTTT